CTATTTTTTAAAGTCTCAGAGGCATTCCTCTACATTTTTCATTTGTTAATGAGGGTAAAATTTGACCTTGTGTATTTTCAAGGAAGTCTACAAAAGCTTCTGTACTAAACCTTTGCTCTATGTGTAATGGCCAAAAAAACCTCAACAGTTTTACCAGGTACTGAGATAGGGAGGGCAATTGCAAATGTGGGATCCACAGAGAGTTCTGGTGAAGCAGAATTACTGCAAACCTTTCCCTCCAGCACTGCTCCTGGTGACAAGGTGCTCAATGTGGCTTGCAGCAGAAGCAGGGACCTGCTGGATGATTCTTATTCTTCATCCCTTTCCCTTGGCAGTAGTCATCCATGGGAATCAGCTGGGTAGATGCTGTCCCAGAGGAGCACTTACTGGCAGGGTAGGAGTGGAGCACTAAATCCCATGGGACTCCTGCAGAATAAGTGTGTTTTCCACTTCACTACAGAGGCACGGGGATCAGCCTATTTGCTTAATTTCCAAAGACTCAGGTGGATTACTGGATGACAGGTTAGGGAAACTGCTGGGTTTCCAGTGAGGATGGAGATTAGCAGCTATTCTCTTTAATGAGAGCAAAACTGTTAACTGCACATGAAGAAAAAGCTACAAATCTGTTGGAATCTGCCTGTATCTCCTGCCATAAGCAGCTTAGATGCTAACCATCTAGATTGCAATTTCAATTGCTGTAATTTTGCCAGAATAAATAACTGTTGGGAAAACCTGAAAGCTTTCCAAGTGATTTCCTTGTTCCATACTGATTTTTGGCCCTTTAAACTGAGATTATGTTTGTCTGTAGGGAAAATGGAAATGTTTGTCTATATGGAAGACAACAAGTCTTAATTTGATGACAAATGATGGTCAGGCATCCAAGATAACTCTATCTGATTTTCTGAAAATCAGCCAAAATCCAATGATCTTAGGAATGCCTGCAAGTTGTAGACTGGTTTCATACTTACCTTTCTGCATTTTATCTTTTGCAAGGAACAGGACCATGGGAAATATGGGAAAGCAATTAATAGTCATGGAATTTAAGACAGTATGACAACACTATATTCTGAAGATGCCTCACTTCTGAGTGCTTTCTTTAGCTGCATCTCATCATTTTGATTTGATAAGAAATTACTTTTGTTTATATATGTATGTAGTGGCAATATGTTTTGTAAGGAACATAGAAGAGCTCTGCAGTAGTTTTTATATGAATTATGAAAAATCTTTCACAAATGCTGATATTTTCAGTTTTAACATTAGTGGGGTTTTTTTCCCTGAAAAATATTTTTCTTAATTTGTTGCATAATATATGTGAACCTGCTGTTTAAGAACATCCTTCAAAGATTTTTTTTGCTTTTTGTTTTTCATCTCATGTATGCACAGTGTTAGCATTAATTTCTGTGTTTGGTACATCTGTTTGCTGAAGGTTATAGAAACAATTTTGTGCTAGAAAAATATATGCTGGATAATTAAAGTAATGACATATAAACCAAAAACTTATGCATAAGGATTACAGCACTGTCAGAGTATTGTTTCATAAGGATTCACAGTGAGTTTTGTTGAAAGAAATATAGATATTCTGTGATCTCAGTGTGTAGAGATATGTTTGTAGGTGCATACAAATACACACACAAAATTTTGCGTATCACAATCAGAAGATCATGTGATGGCTTATAAATCTCTGGTATACACATGATTCATAGAGCAAAAGCTCCTTTGGAGTCTTGTGCTCATTTTTTCCCTGGAACAGAAAGGTCCTGTTCATAGACAGGAATGCTTGAAGCACTAAGCTGTCAGAAAAAAAAATAGTCAAGGGTATTTCTCTATAATAAAGGCGGTTTATCTACTAAAGGACTAAAAATTTGAGAAAAGTTGAGTATGTAAATTCTGTAGGTGTGTCTGAGCAGCTAAAACTGAAGCTAATAACAATGATCAGTGCTGTGCTACAAAATGTAAATAAATCAGTATAGATTTAGCAAATTATATATATTTATCTTTATCATAGAGAGTGGTTTTGGTTTTTTTCCACTCAGTTAATTTGTAAAGTATGTGAACAAATTTTATTCTCAGAACAAGTTCAGTGAGCTAAATAATCAATTTAATGCATGAATGTTTCAAACAGTTGTGATCATTGACAACAGGAAACTAGAATGAAAGTTCTCCACCTCCAGCTTGGTTCAGACATGGTTCAGGTATGTCTGTGCTTTATATCCCTACCTCCATTCCGTTTGCACAACAAACTTCTCAAAACCATCATTAACAATTTGCTTTCTCTGATTTGTGATAATTATGATGTACATTATAGATGAACTCATCAAAGAGCAAAGACACACAAAATTGTGGTTTAATTCTAATGGCTGAGGAAGACAGAGCAAGTTGCCTGCTCCAAGTCTTTAAAAGATGTTTCAGCATTTAGCCAACACTCTGTTACCACAGGTGTTGGGCATCAAAAATCTTTAGACTGTCACTATGAGTTTAGGTACACAATCATCTTTTAAGCTAATTTCTTCTGGGTAAGCAAATAACAAAGAGTTAAATTGCACCAAAGAGACCAAAGCGCATTCAAGCTAATGAAAGCCATGGCTTTGGTCATTTTGTCTGGACTTTAATTCCTAGTGAAGTTTGTTTTAATTCTCATGATATATTTCATGGTTATAAAGCTAGAAGAGGCCATTAGAATTTTTAGTTTGAGCTTATTCATACAGTGAGTTCTTAGTGTCACCCTGTTGTTTATACAATTGGCTTGTGACTTACGTACAAGGAAAGCCCAAATAAAATGTATAATGCATATAGAGTTTTTCTATAGAAGTATTTCTACTAAGGATTATTTGTATTCATTTCAAATTTGCAATGTCACTTTATTTGAAAATCTCAGTGGAATTTTAGGTTTGTATTTTAGCTCTGAAAATAATTTTAAACAATCTTGGCAGTAGTAGAAAAAAAAGCTATTGGGTCCATAGCTTAGTTGTCTAATTTCTAAATAGTTTAAATGCTAAGGCTGTAAAATGAATTATGTATGGCTTGAATTTAAATGAAAAAAGAATGTTGATCTTCCTTTTGGGAATAGTTTTAATTTAAAAAGAGAATTATGGTTTTTATGTTACTCTCAGTTGGGAATGCATTTGTTAGAAAAATAACTATTCAGTGTTTTGAAAATATAGTTCTGTTTAAGCTAGAGGCTCAGTAAGAAATCACCATATAGGCAATTCCCATCTAAGAACTAAGATACTGATGCACCTAACTCAGCTGGATTAGTAAAGACAAGACTGTAAATTGAGTTCCTGTAAAATGTGTCTCAAAAAATCAACATGTGCAAGAAGGAAGTTGTGGGTAATTTGTTCTCCTCTTCACTGCTGTGGGGCATGAAATCCTGTGGAAGCACCACTGCAGAAATTGAAACCTGGCTTTTGTGGACAGGTATTCAGAGCTTCATTTATCTGTTGGAATTTTTGTGTCTCTTTATTTCTGTATGTCCAGCAAAGCAGCTTTGTTCTGATTTCCCATTATCATAGATAGATTTTTCTCATGGCTCTGGTCTACCCTGTAGAAGAACAGTGGAGCTGCCAGATTCGATCTGTAGATCTTTCATGTAGAGACATTGGAATTTCCTGCTCCCCTCCTATAGGCTTGGCAGCCTCAGAGCTGTGCAGTAGCCAGTCTTTCCTGGGATATCTTTGTCAGGTTGCCTCCTGACATGCCTCAGGACCTCCTGCTTTAGAAAGGTCACCCATCTTCCCAGTAGGAAGACAACCTTATCCTGAAGCTCTGCTACCCCAGAGGTGGTGCAGTCACCATTTTCTCTGTAAAAGAGTGAGTTATTCCTCAGATGTGTTCAGACACTTCTGCATCTGCACCATCTGAGGGTGCCATTCCTAAGTACTAAGCTTTATTTGTGTGACAACAGGATCTGTGCTGTTACTGCTACTTCTTTATTTTGAAATAGCATTTCTCAGGCTTCAGATTTTTATTTTTGCCTTTTTTTATTTTATTTTTTTCACTTGCATGGTAGCTTGACACTTAATACATTCATTAGAGCTTGGGTGCTTTCTTGTGTTTTCCTAGGCTGGGGATGGGAGGGAATTACTCTTCATTGAGGTGAACCTCCTTAACTTCAGGTGTTTGGTTAAGCCTTCTGCTCTCTGTAAAGCTTTCTCTGCCTTCAAAGAAATGGTTGCCAATAAATCTGACATTGTTTTTGATGGGTGAATATTTTCCTGATATGATCATGAGATTGTTTAGAAGAGGGGAAAATCAGCAGGACATCTGGACATGGGTCACAGAAGAAGCCCTTTAGATGATGATGTTAGAGCACTGATCACTTAATGCAAAACCACAACAGGAAAAGCTCTGTATCCCATAGTAAGGTAAAACAGTTCTGGGACCAGCCTCTGTCTTAGGGCCTGCTTACAGAGTAGTTTTTGTTTTCTCAAATAATGCAGCTGTCTGCCTAAAAGGGACAGTGAGGAATAAAAAAAAAATTGCCATGACTTTTCAACACCTGCCTCCTAAAAAGTGTTAGTGTGTGTACACACTGTGCCATATGCATGACTCCAGAGTACTCAAAACAGTTCTCTGATTCTTTAACTCCAAAGAAATATCCTAGAAACTTTTTGTATTTCACATGCTGGATATTTTCAGCTTGGGTTAGATTTCTCTACCTTTGAGGGATTTATTGGCATTACTTACAGACCAAGGACTATTCTGCTCTGGTATTTGTCTTAAAGGTTTTGCCATGCATAAAAGGGAAAAGCTGTTATTTCTATTGATACACCCTGAGACCACGTAGCAAATTCAAAGAGAAATAATAACTAAATGAAGAGAGGCTGCTAAATGGCAGAAAGGAACAAGGAGTATGTTCCTGGGCCTCCATCTGAAAGGTCATATACCTGGCACCTTTTGAATGTCAAGCCTGAAGATGAGAAAGCAGTGTAAATAAGCCAGTGCCTGTGCACTGCTGGTTGGCAAGTTGGCTGACTCGCTGTTGCTGTCCTTCCTGTCAGGATCTGTCACTGTGAGGGAGATGATGAGAGCCCCCTCATCACGCCGTGCCGCTGCACGGGCACCCTGCGCTTTGTGCACCAGGCCTGCCTGCACCAGTGGATCAAGAGCTCGGACACGCGCTGCTGCGAGCTCTGCAAGTACGACTTCATCATGGAGACCAAGCTCAAGCCCCTCCGCAAGGTAGGCTGCTCTGGAGTTTGATTATCCCCAGGGCTCAGAGCTCCAGGATGGCTGTGCAAATTGCCAGCACAGTTAAAGAAACATCTGTCCAGAATGGCTTTGTGTTTGCTGTTGGTAATCGGTCACAGTGATTTTAGTCTTACATATAAGCGGGTTAATTTTCAGCAGCAGAGGATTTGACTGAAGACTCACTTTCTTCACACATACAATATAAATGCACAAATAATAGTCTTTTGGTTTAGACTTTCTATCTTCAGCTTTTTGTTACAAGTTCATCTGCGTATTTTTAAGCCAGAAAGAAATCTTTTCATGTTTTTCTCCTGAGTGACACAGTCCAGTTCACCCGGCAATTTTTACATGAAGCCCATAACTTCTGGTTGAGAATGATGCTTGTACCCATGTGGACACAGCAGTTATAAAGTAACACAGTCAATTTAGCTGCATCTGTTGTAGCTGTGACACTCATGGGCAAATTAATCACTTCTGCTTTAAAATTAGTTAATGGAATTGAAAAGACAGGGTGACTTTGCATCCTGAATGTCAAATGTGTGTTATCTGCACTCATCTGTTTTCTACGATAAATCAATAAAATGCTACACAGATTGTCAGTATAGGGAAGGTGAAGAGTTTATTAAACATATGTGGGTTCTGTTTTCTTTGGAGTGGATAGCTTCTCTTTGAATTTTTATTTTAAAATGCTCTTTCTTATCCTTCTGGAGTCTTGCTGAATCTTTGAAGTTTGAGTCAATCTGGAGCTGGGCAAGTTTTGATTTAAAATAAATTTCTACATGAAAAACATGTACCAAAGCTATTGCTTTGGACCAACATATGCCTATATATAGTGTTCTAAAGGCAAAAGACATTTTGTTTTTGTTGGCCTTACACAGGTAGCAGTAGTTCAGAGAAAGGGAAATCAATGGAATTTCTTCACACTTCCCATTCAGAGGAATTTTCTATAAAGTCCATGGTGATAAACCACTTCTGAAGAGAGAATTCGGGCTAATTTGGAAAGCAAAGCTTGCTATAGGGAAAGACAAAGTTCTCAAATGCCAGGTAGATCTGGCCATGTACGCTAGAAATTGAAAAAAAAAAAAGATGGCTAAAAACTCAATTATATTGATTTCAGTTTTGGTAATTGCATATAGACTTTAGCTAATGTGACAGGATGAGATTATTCTATAAAAACCCCTGCCTGTTGCATCTCTTTGGGTTTTTTTTCTTAGCTTATATGTTTCTATTTTCAAACCAAATTGCTTTAACAAGTACTCTCATAACAGTTACTTTTCTCAAGAGAATATACAGATATTGGTATTTTTAACAAAAGCCTTTTGCTGGTTTTGTTAGATAATATAGCATCTTTTATAAAAGGAAAACAAAATTTATAGCAACCAAGGAGAAAAGGAGTGAAAAATGTGCATCATTTGATATCAGAAGTAGGCACTTTTAACTGTGTGTAGTCAGTGTCACATCTCCTCCCCCTTTTAGAGTGGTAGTGTAATTCCTACAAGTCTGCAATTTCTTAATTGAATGATTGCCACCTTATTCAGCTTATCATTGGTTCTCAGGTATGGTTTAGATTTCTGCATAAAAAAAGATTCACCTCTTCTTTCAGGCAGGATATTTTTGTTTCTGCTCGAAGCACTACTCAAAAGAAGTTTATCTGCCTGGCAGTCTGCTGGCAACATTCCTCCCTTCAAATGCAATGCTAACAAATATTTGTTTGTGTAGAATGAACCCAGCACTAACTATAAATCCTTTCTTGTAAGTCGCACCCATTTCAGAAACCAAAGCTCCGAAATATTTCAAAGTTAAAATTAGTTGTGTTTTGGCATTTACAGCATTCAACTGTGACACGCTTCATGTGTTACATTTAATTAAACATGTTCCTTACTAAGTGTGAGCACTATCATCACCATTGTTCACAAATTTATGAAACACTTAACAGTTTATGAGAAGCTGTTTTGCAAACCAAGTATTTTGACAGCTGTAGCGAAGCCAAGGTAAGGGAGGAAAAAGTGATCATGAGACCTGCCATATGAGTAGAGCTGACTTGCAAATTTCCACCCAAACATCCTTTATAAAAATCACTGAAACTGTTTTGTTTAGGAATTTTTTTGTCAGAACTTATATATTTTGCAGAAGTGGAAAGTGCCAATGAAACACTGTCAAATTTCTTGGCAGCTTTTATGAAGCCCAGAATCTCAGTTTTGCGGTGTTCCTTGAGAGCCCACGTTTTCAAAAGGCTGGCACAAAGGGTGGTGACCAAAATACTGTGGGACAGGCAGCTCCTAACACCAGCTCCCCACAATGCTGTCTCCTTGATGCAGGATCTGAAAAACAGTACTGGCTCTGGGATTTCCAGGCCTTGAAAGCTTTGGGTTTTGCTAAAGCTTGATTCTGTACTAGACCTCAGGAGCCTTCAGTCCCCTAAGTCTGGGCTGTCAGCAGTGAATCGAAATTTCTGAGCTTCTGGAATCCTCTTGGCATGATGGCAGGGATGTTATGTATCTGAAAACAACACAGTTCTTGTCAACTTTGTTGGATGCCAACTGGAACAGCAAAATTGACCCAAAAAAAGTTATTAATTTTGCTGATAAGCCTTGAGGAATTCTGAAAACAGATTACTTTGCCATGCATCCTAAACAGAAGACCATATATTTTGTTTCAAGAAAGGAGTGCCTATTCAATTCCATAAAAGACTCATTTATTAGGAAAAAGCAAAGGAAATTATTTTCCCTAAAGTGAGTTTCTGTCCAACTTCAGATGATGCAATTTCCGTGGCCATTAGACCTGGATTTGAAGTGACATTCTACAAGTGGAAGGGTCACATCTCTTTACCAGTTCTGATTTTTTGTTTTTTAATCTCTCTCATCACTTATTATACAACATTCTAAAATTTGGTTCCTGTCTGTGCATTGTTTCATTATGATGAATTTTGTCATTATGTCTTTGTAAAATTCCCACTGCTGGCCTCCTGAAGGGAAAAAAATTACAGACTATCAAACTTAATTACAGCTGTCTATAGTTTTGCATTTTGCAGAATCACAAAAGCATGATTTAAATATAAAACAAATAATTTATTCAAAAATGAATTACCATCTTTATTTATACCTCAGCCCTTCATGCACCTTCAATGTTTCATAACAGATTTTTTTGTCAAAGTCTAAGGTTTTATACCACAATCATTTTGGAAAATCATGCCATATCTGTTAGCACCCATAAGTGACAATGTAGAACATAGAAAGCTAACATAAATTAAGATAATCAGTACTAAATCAATAGGTTTGTGCCAATGTGTGACAGTTATTTAATTAGAGAATCCCTGAAAGCACCAGACATCAAATAAAACTGAGTTTAATCATTTTAGTGAGTCTTTGCATTGAGGTAATCCTTTTAAGCATTGATCAACAGACATTGCAAGTGTTTCATATATTTGGACAGGTCTAATTACTTCAGCTCAAGATAAATACAGAGATTAAATATTAAGCATTGCTTAGTGCTTCTGATTTATTTCTCATGGTCTCTGTTACATCTGTCTGTCATTATAAATAATACAGTTACATTTGTGGCTTTGCCTCTCAGCATCTGCAATCCATGATGCAGAATTTAAAAGGTGACTTTATCAGAGAAGGAATTAGAAAGTGGTAGGAAGTTTGTGTGAGTTCCTTATTGAGCTCTATCAGGAAATAGCTTAAACCTGAGAAAAACACTTCTTCTTTAAAAAAGATGCACTCCTAGATAGTAACACCTGCATTTCATATCTCTTAAATTTGGTGTTTGAAGACTAGTCGAAACAGGAATTGAATGAAAATATAGTTATAATGAAATGGATTAAAGTGTCAAATTAAAAGAAAGCTCAACAAAAAAAGTCTTTAAATGGAGATTCTCAGCAGTGCCTTGCTATACTTCAAAATACTTTTCATATTTAAATTTTGCTATCTATTTAAGACGTCTAGTATCTGATGAGATGTCTTACTTTGATGCATCATCCCAACAGATTATTGTGTGGTGTCAGAGATGTCTGTTTTCTCTCCCAGCTCTATTTTTTAAATGATTTACAAATAAAGTCTTATTTATGTGAGGCTTGAGCAATATTGCTCATTGTTACCATGTGGTTGCTCTTGGTCATTAAGGAAGTGCAAGTCACTTTTTACAGAAGCATTATGTAGCACTTGAGGTTAATTTTCTTTCTGATAGAAAGAGTATCTGAATTTATGCCATTTTTTAAAAATAGAGGACTGAGAATGTTCTTTTAGTACAGAGTGATATGTTTCTATTAAATTCAACAGAAGCAAAGAGAATGCTGATCATGAAATAAACTTAGTCTTATTTAATTTGAATGTGTATATTTATCTTCTAAGTGTTTATGCCTCTTGTATGCTGTATTTGGTTATATGCTGATATAAAAAAGCCTCATAGTATGCCTAAAACATTCACTGATGGCAAAATATGTTAAGGATGTTTTTTACTTTTGATTCAATAGTAGCTTGGGAATTCATATTGACATTTCTTTTTTAAGAGTATGGTGATCACTGCCAAAAGTCATAGAACCTGCAGTGAAATTTCTGTGATATCCTGCTCTGAAATCAAAAATGCTGGCCATTAGAAACTGCTTTTGCCAGAGTAAACTCTCCGATCCAGACGTGACCAGAAGAGTCTCACAAGAAAAAGCCCCAAACTTTTGGGCAGTCGTTACCACACTGCTTGCTGTTCAATTCTTACTGCTGTGAGGTGTGAACCAGCTGCCTTTGTCCGTGGTTTTCTAATAATGCTCGTGATAAGAAGTGGTATCGAATATTGCTCAGGACTTGCTGTGGGACTAGTTCCCTTTTCACCCAATTGGATGAGTATTCTGCAGTGCTCAACACAGAAGGAGCTCCTGCATTTTGCTTTGATTTCTGGTGCAGCTACATAGTGTCACCAAGGCAACCTGCTCCACTGTTATCTTTCTTCCAGTGAACTGTCTCAAAACATCAGCAGCCTCAAATAATTGCCTGCAA